TTAATCAGCTGGTTCCGCAGGTCACATGACCGTTAATCAGCTGGTTCGGCAGGTCACATGACCGTTAATCAGCTGGTTCGGCAGGTCACATGACCGTTAATCAGCTGTTTCAGCAGCTCACATAACGTTAATCAGCTGTTTCAGCAGGTCATGTGACCGTTAATCAGCTGGTTCAGCAGCTCACATAACATTAATCAGCTGGTTCAGCAGGTCACATGACTGATTATTAATCAGCTCAGTGGTTTTGAAACATCCACCAGGATGATCTGCAGGTTTTTCAGTTTAGATGTTTTTTCTTCTTTTCCTCTGTTTGTTTGTGAATCGTACATATTTAAAGTATTTATAAGAATTTAAAATTGTTTCTGAGAAATCCAGATATTCTACATAAATTTATATTTTACATTTTTGGAAGAAGCAGAATTAAAATCTTCAGTTTCAAAATTTTTAAAGCCTTTTTTTATTTTGTTTACGGGTTAGGATCAAAAAATGGAAAAAATTCTGGTACAGGTTTTTTTCTCAGCGTTTTTAATTTTAGATGTTTTAAAAAACTTTTTTGACATTTCAAACATTTGGCCTTTATAATCTGCTTTCTGTAAAGGCCTGGAGAGATTTGATTAATATTAATGAAATGTCGTGGTGAAGCTGCTTGTTGGAGAACCAGTTCATTCGAGCTGCGCCTGAACTGGTTTGGGTCTTGGCTCGAGCCGGGTCGAACCGCTCACTTTACAGAAAGCAGCAGAAAACATCTCGGGCTCTTAGTTTGAAAAGCATCGCTTCACGGCTGCAGATGATTTTCATGAGATGAATTTAGCTTCAGTCCCGGATAGCTCCGGTGGAACCAGATCATTTTGTCTCCGCTTCAGTCGAGTCAAACTGACGACTTTTTATATTTTCACATTTCAGACCAACTAAAATCTGTATCTGTGTGTTTGTGGTGACGTGAAGTGCTGCACGTGTTGCACGAAGCTTCCATGAACTGATTCACTGTGTTTAGCCTCAAAGTAGCAGCTTGGTTTAAATTTTATAATAATTTGCTGAGCGACGTCGAACAGAAGCTTTATGTGGTTTAGATGTTTTTTAGGGGAGGGGCTTCAGTAAAGTTTTACTGCAGAAAATGTGACAAAAATAGCAACAAAAGTTGTGTAAAGGGTACTAAAAATGTAAATAGCATATTTTATTTATGTGTTTGACAATTTGTTCACCCTCTGAAAGAACGAAGTGAAAACAACATGGAGATTTTAAAAAGTGATCATTTAGCGCTCATACATCTGGATGCAGACAAAATTTTAAAATATGTACTGTTTTTGTCTCTAAATGGTTAGAACATGTAAATGTGTTTTTGATGGTTTTACCAGAACCAGGACATTCTAACAGTGTTAATTAGTAAATCTCCTCTAAGGTAAGAAATGAGATGATTAACCTCGTTAGTCACCAGGTCTTCTTCAGATGTGCAGTTATTAAGTTCTGCTCATTGTTTCACATTTGAAAGAACTCAGACATAAAAAGCCTTTTTTAACAATTAGATTTTTTTTTAAATAAGAATGTCAATTAAAAAATAAATAAAATAAATTGATAATTAATTGGATAAAATACAGTGAGTGTCCCTGAATAAAGACAACAAGTTTACAGGATAAAATATTTTTAAGGGAACATAGTTTCCCTCTGTGGTGACGCAGAATCTCAGGCGGTTAAAGAGAAATCGGATAAAACTGTTGATTGCAAAAGTTTGCTTTATGAAAGGGCTAGAGGACTGAGTACACAACCATGTGGAACTCCTCGCCCAAAATGTGTTACACAGTGCCCTCTGTGGCCATCACATGGAACTCCAAGATAAAATAATTTCACATTCATTTTAAAAACAAACACTAAATTGGAGATATAAATATTTCACCAAGAAGTTTCAGTGTTGACCAAAGCAACAAACATTATGAAGATTTGTTTATTAAAATGAAAACAAGAGGCAGAATTTTACTGAATAAAAGACGTGGGGTACAGAGTCTCTGATGCTGACTTTCATGTGACTGCTTTACATTTGATTAATGATAAAAATGTGACTGATTTAAAGAATAAAACAAGATTCAACTTGATATTATAAGAGTGTGCATGCTGGGGTCCAAACATTCTGAGGTTTGGAACGTGACGCTGAGAATTCATGAAATATATAAACTTATGAAGATATTTTGAAAGAACTATTTACATCTGAATGTGATTCTGTTGACATGAATAAAACATTAAAACTGGACGTAATGTGTTAATTTCTTCCCACAAACTGAATGAAGTTTCTTTATTTTGAACAGTGTTGATATTAAACACGTGTACGACCTAAAAATAAATCCCTCACGTGTCGTCAGTAAAATATAAGAATCCTAATTTGACCTGAGGAATGACGTTAAACTGCAGCTGAGTTCACTGAAATTCAAATTAAATTTCTGAACCTCTAAAAGTCTGAATGACAAAGGTCCAGTTTGTCCGTTTCTGAACCACAAGGAGACTCCAAGTTTGGCGGTGAGCCTCAGGAACGGACCTCTTGTGGGCCACTCAGTAGAACTTTCCACCTGAGGAGACAGAGCTCCGGAAGAAGCAGCTAAAAAGTTCAGACGTAAAGAGCCGAACACTTCGAGCACCAAGACTCGGGACCTTCAGATGGAGGTTCAGTCCAGACCACCAGGACCAGATGACCCAGGATCATCAAGTTTGATGCATTTTAAATATTTATTTCATGGGTCAGAGAAACCTGTAATAAGGGCCGTTTCTGGCCCACGGGCCGGAAGTTTTTACTGCCATCATTAAAAAAAATTAAATTTCACATTTTTCAGCTGAAAATTAATTTTATTCTATTGAACAAGTTTATTGCTGTCTGTCTGTCTGACTGTCTGTCTGTCTGTCTGACTGTCTGACTGACTGACTGTATGTATGTCTGTCTGTCTG